CGGCCGGATCCGGGAGGCCCTTGATGGGCTGCTCGCCCAGGGCCGTGGCCACCCCCAACGTGTCAAAGTGGGACAGGGCCACCACGGCCACATCGGCCAGCAGCGTGTGCAGGGGCCCCACGCACTGCTGCTGGGCCACCAGCCCCGTCACCGAGCGGTCCACCTGCCGGTGAGGGACAGGGAGGGGACCAGGGAGTTGGCCATGGCCAGCAGGTGGGTTGGGGACAGGGAGATGACACGGAGGGGATCGGGGACAGGGAGGTGATGAGGGACATGTAGGGGATTGGGGACATGGAGGGGACCGTGGCCACCAAGGGAACTGGGGACAGGGAGATGACACGGAGGGGATCGGGGACAGGGAGGGGACCAGGGACATGGAGGGAACTGGGGACATGGAGGAGACCATGGCCACCAAGTGGGTTGGGGACAGGGAGGGGATCAGGGACAGGGAGGTGATGAGGGACACGGAGGTGACTGGGGACGTGGAGGGGACTGTGGCCACCAAGTGGCTTGGGGACATGGAGGAGACTGGTGGCACAAGGGGACTGGGGACATGGAGAGGACCATGGCCACCAAGTGGGTTGGGGACATGGAGGGGATCAGGGACAGGTAGGGGACCAGGGACATGGAGGGGACTGGGGACATGGAGGGGACCATGGCCACCAAGTGGGTTGGGGACAGGGAGAAGACTGGTGGCACAGGGGGACTGGGGACTTTGAGGGGACCATGGTCAGCAAGTGGGTTGGGGACAGGGAGATGACACGGAGGGGACTGGGGACAGGGAGGGGATCAGGGACATGTAGGGGATCGAGGACATGAAGTTGGCCATGGCCACCAAGTGGGTTGGGGACATGGAGAGGACACGGAGGGGATCGGGGACAGGGAGGTGATGAGGGACACGGAGGTGACCGGTGACATTCAGGTGACCATGGCCACCAAGTGGGATGGGGACACGGAGGGGATGGGGGACAGGGAGGGGACCGGGGACACCAGGGATGAAGCCATAGGGGGACTGGGTGGCCCAGGTGGGCCCACGGCGGGTGCTGGGGACACGAGGGGACACAAGGTGACACGAGGGTACACGGGGGGACACGGAGGGGACCCCAGTACCTTGTTGGTGAGGTAGCGCTTGCTGGCCATGGCCGGGAGCCA